CACTTTATTAAAGATACAGGTAGTTCTGAGAAAGATCTTCGAATGTGCATAGCTAATACAAATGGAACTAGCAGTTTTGGAAAACTCCACTAGGTATTTTTAGAAACTTCTCTGATTTTCCAAGTATAGCACCAAAATACTAATAGAAATATATTATTTTATAATAATCTTCCAGGGAAATGATGAGTAGTAAATACATTTTTTTTCCTTAGGAGAAAAAAAAAACACACATAAACACAGAAAAATGTCTGAGGTAATTAATTAAAGATCTCTGAATTCTTCTTTAGAGCTAGGGAAACTGGATGAAATTACAAGTAAAGATGTGATTCAAAAAAATAAACCAAACAAGTCTTTTAAGGAAAATTTATGCTTGTCTAGTCTTATAAAACTCTTCCTACTTGAGACTGGAATTTAAGTAGCTATATTATAAACCTTTAAGTTCTTTCATAGTTTAGGAATTTGTTTAAAGCAAAATAAAACCAAAATAAATATTAAATATATTGGTTGTACTAGTTAGTGATCCATTTTTATTACATTTATAGTCCTAGACTCAGGTCCTCTTGGTAATTAATCAAATTATTTTTCTAATATTTCTGTGAGGCTTGGATGAAATATTTTATTCTATGGGCTATTTTATGTTAAAGACACTGAGGTAGAGAGATATGCTTTATCATTGAAGAACAAGGGTATGGAAGAAATGAAATGTGACTCTTTCTGTAAACCCTAATTCAGTATCTTAAGTCATAAGTTGATCCTTCTCTTAGTAAGAAGGTGCCTGAAAGAGCTGTATTGTAAAGATATTTGTCTTTATCATATTAATTAACTACTTATAAAAAGATAGCTATTAAGTGAAATGTGTCAAAATATTGATTTTGAAATACTGAAAGATTCATTTAGAAAAGACTGATTTAGCTCAAAGCAGAAAATCTTAGAAACAATTAAAGAATTTAAGAATTATAAGATTCTGGTTATATTATAAGGTTATATTATAAGATTATAAGAAACTGGTTATATGATGAAGATGATATGCCATATTGAAAAGTGCAGAATAATGGGTAGTACAAAAAATAATCTGAATTCCACAGACAATCCTGTTATATTTTTTAAAAAAGGTAAAAGACAATCAGTTGAAAAATAGCTTCAGATTTTTTACTACCCTGAGGTTTTCTGCTTCTTGTCCAGCCACAGTGAAAAAACATTGGCTCGTGCATGGATATTAAAAATCTACCATGATAACAGTTATATCAGTAAATAATTGGATTAGAATAATGCATGCTGTGCAAAATTTTCAGCTCTGATCTCACTCTGTCTGTTTATACCTTCTAAAAAAGAATCAGGAATTCCTGAAAAATGCCTCCAAATTAAATAGAGGATTAATTAGATGTCTGAATAATATTTTGGGGTAAACATCTATAAAATGGATAATCCTTGCTAATTTAGTATAGTAGATGCGTAACATCCATTGAATTCTAGAGTAAGCCAGAAACATCTTTATATGCATCTTATTTGCTATATTTATTATTAAGATTATACACCCTTGCAATAACTTCTAACTACTCTTGAATATTAAGTACCAGACCAGGGGAGCTATCAATGTGATCCAAAATATAATTCATATGTTGCTCTCTACTGTTCATATTTTTAGAGTTCTGCATACTAGGACCATGTGACAGCTGTGTAATGTGAGTTTAAATATGCATTTGAATCACCAGGTTCTTTTCTGCCTGCTTGCTTTATTTCCTTCATTTTTTACTATCAAACATAATCTAGGCTGAATTATGATGTCTTCCCTCAAAAACGATTCCTATTGACTTTAATGGCCTTGAGTGAGGGCTCTGGTATGTAGTTTGTTGTAATAAAATTGACTTTCATTTCATGATTTTTTTTTTCTATATTGTAGCTCATCTTAAATGTATGCAATCTTTTATCATTTCAAAATTTCTTAGGTGAAATAAAAGAACTGGCAAAAGTTGCTATGGTCATACAGTGTGAGTCTCTACTTGAGAAGAAGTTTTCCAATTGCAGAGGATTCTATCCAGGCAGTCACAGTCATAAGCTGATCATACATCTAGAAGTTTCCTTTACTTTCCTTTTTCTCTTCTTGTCTTTCTATTTTGGTAGAAATAACCACTAACTATTGGAACAACTAAAATTTTTGAAGTCCAGATTGCATGCCTTTCTAAAAGAAATGCTTTAGGTCATCCAGAAGTCATGGAGTCAGTACAAAAATAATTGTGCTATAGAGGAGCTTATGTTGAGTCCCATCTGCCTTTTAAAATGCATTGTAAAGCTCTTATATTTAACCTTATTGGGCATATAGAAAATGTGGGGAATAGCTGAGTGTACACATCACATTCCCTTGTTGGGTCCAGTTTTTACTCTTGGTTCACATATGCGTGTCTCTCACCTAGGAAGATTCACCGCTGCCAGAAACAACCACAGCTGCAGAAACAGCATTAGCCTTTGCCAGGTTGCAGAAAATATGGCATGTGTACTCCAAAAGGAAATTTGTATAGGAGAATTCATAGGAACAAAACCTTTTGCTTGTGGTTTTGGATTGGAATGTACTTGACAATACATATCAACAATTGAGAAATAAAAATGCAGGAAAGTAATATTACTTTCATATAACTGAATACTTATTGAAAGAAAAAAAATATAGGCTGGGATTGCTTTATGGAGGTATGAAATAAATCTCCCCTTTTATATGTTGTAAATTGTCTTGAAGGTCTTCTGCATTCTTCTGAGAGTCATTACGCTCATCTTGCCTCCAGAATTCTACAGGTCTTAGCAAGTGGTCATGGATTACAGAACTAAAAAAGTGTCTGCTTGAAGGCCATTTGTCTTATGTATTTCTTGGAAATTTGGGACTTCAAAAGGCTTATCAAAACAAAGAATCCTATTGTAAAGGGAGTCCCTATCCACAATAGCTGAGCACCTTGAAATACTGAAACTTGGATAGGTGGGGGTAGACATTTAGTTTACTGTATCATTTTCAGTCAGTCTGGCAAATTCAAACAGACTTTTTGCTTAACTTTAGCTCTCAGTTATACAGACTTAGAGACTGAACAGAATTAAAACCTTAATTGCATGCTTTTGCTGCAACTGTTCCTCTGTTGCGAGCTGGAACCTGGTGCCTTTTTTTTCCCCGGTGAATGTAAAATCTCCAGACAGCTCTTGTGTAAGATAATTAAATGAAAAAGATGACAAGATATGCAAGCATTAAGTAGTCTTTCTATGGCATTAAACATCTTTGAAGAAAGATTGTTGGAAGCTAAATGTGGAAGATTTTTAAGATTTGAAGTAAAAGCCATTTATGAGAAAGCTTCAGTGTATTTCATTTGGACTTTACAGCTATTTTCCTGACATCCTGACATTGTAGCCACAGAAAAGTTGAAAGATGTGAGTGGAATTTACCTGTGAATGGGGATAAAAGAAATGATAGCTCTATCTATCTGTTTTGGATTACATGCTCAGCTGGAAAAATGTGCATTTCTTCTTCTAATATTTATATATATATTTATATTATACAATTATTAGTTATCATTCTGGTCTTGTTTTTCCCGTATTTCCACAATTTTCACTGTGATCGCAATTGCAGACGTTTTGTTGCGGAAGAGCAAGTTGCATGTTCGCAAGAAATATATTTATATAATACTTTCTTAGATTACTTTTAGCAAAGAAACTCCATGCTAAAGTCAGACTATAACTTCTTTGCCAAAAAAAAAAAAAACCTTAAAGGAGGATTTTTAAATAGTATGTTTTCTTCTCCTGCAGTCATTTCAGAAAGAGTTGAATCTTTTGGTTTTTTAGGTTGCAACCAAAACGAATAACTTTTAGCTCTGAATAGTGCAATGGTGCTTTAGCTTTAAACATTTTCAATGAAGAAAGGAGATGCATTTAAAAGCACATCATGAAATGCACCACACTTCAAAGGTGCACAGACATTGCATGGGATCCCTTCCTTCCTTACCCAGCCCATGGCGATCTCCACAGTTCCAGAAACACAGTATTGCATTCCTTTGGAGACTTGAGAAGAACAGCCAACCAAACAAACAAACACAGTCCCTTAATGTGCATAGAAGTTGGGAGCACAGGCTTTGTCTATGCTAATATCTAAAATGAGTCAGGAATCATTCTCTGGCCTGGAGGCCGAATGGCATGATTGCATGTGTACAGCTAAATGTCTTACAGGCATGGGCCAAAATAATGCCAGAAGGTCATTTTAATGACCAAGGAGTGTCAAGGACTAGCACTGCCAGCCCTGATGAATAATCAATGCTCCATCCTTTAAGTGGAGCAGCTTCTGCTTGGGGAAAAGTAGAAACTTCCTTGAGTGCTCCTCAAGCTGATGCGATTCTCTCTGATCCTTTACCAAGCACTGAGCTTCACTAGGAAAAGCCCCATCTTGACTTTGTTGAAAAATAAATAAAAGCAGAAGCAAGCAAACCAAAGCCGTGATCCTAAAACTAGCTGTCAATGTAAGATTCAGAGTGCTGTAAGAAGAACGTGAAAGTTGTGCAGCCTTTTTCAAGCGATGCTTCCACTGATTCAGAATATCTTTACGTCTGGGTCTGCGGGCCTGATTTACCTGCAATGATACTGATCTATAATAGACTTTAAGACTTCCTTTCAACATTAAAATCATATCAAATGAACTTGCTGTAACTCAGATGAGGGCCTTATGCCCATTTTCAACATAAATCTCAGATTCAAGGAAGGTCTGTTAAGCATTTGACTTCAGACCAGTGCTCATAGGCCTTCTCTTAGTATGAAGTGGAAGAGTGAATTCCTAATATAGGAAGTTTAGTAAGAACAAACATGTTAAGTTAATGGCATGTATATAAAAACAGTGGGAAAGGTCTTTTTTTTTGAAGAAGATATCTCTTTATTGCCATGGAAAGCAGAGTAACTATACACTAGCTACTCTGTGGTATATAGATTTGTGGTATACACTGTGATAAGATGCTATTCAACACTAACAATGCTATCAGAATTTGTCTTTATGTTTAGTTAGTAATACTAAAATAAAGTTTTAGGTAGGCTGATAACATTGTATTTGAACAATGGATACTTAAGATGCCAATAACTTCATAAGCATTTACCTTAAGAGTAAACCTTGCCATCTTAGAGTTTCTGACACCTGACTCTGCAGTCCTGAGGTGAATGATGAGTGAGTAGTTCTCAAGATCTTAAAAGGAATAACAGCATGGAATATATGGTCCAAGGTTGACAGGTACTCTCGGCTCCTCTAGCACTACTAGTTAAGTTTTCAATCAATGTTTTTTATAAATATGTGAGGTTAAGGGTAGAAACTTCTGAACAAAATTAATCAATGGTGTCTTCCAGTGATTCAATCCATCATTGTAATCTAAAACATCCACTTTGGTCTTCAAACCTCACCCAATGTAGCGTTGATAAGATCTTCTTTACAAACTTTGCTGTCTCATTTTAATTTAGCTTTTTTCACCTTTTTTTTTTTTCATTTTTAGGAGCTGAATATTTTATGCATTTCTATGTAAAGTTGTAGGTTTTGATTTTGCTCTTGAATTTGTATGGGCACAAAGATCTCAGAGTGAAAGCACTGTGGAGATATATACATATCTCAATTTCCCATTTTTTTCTGTAAATAACAGAGTTAATAGTATGTACTCTTCTAACAGTAAATTTATTCAAATTGATAGCAGTAGCTAAAGTTTCTTTGTTACTTTAAGTAAATGTCACCTACATATACTGAAATAAAAATAAAGCTAGTAAAATGGATCTTTCTTCTGAGCTAACCTGAGTATACTGTTAATTCATTTCTCCTATGACTCTCATAAAATGATATCACATTTGTTTATATGGTGTATCTGTAAATAGTATTCCTCTTATGTAAAGACTGCAAGCTATACCTAATGTCTACTTATTTAGCTCAATCTAATTACTCTGCCTTCTTAAGTAAGTAATGAGTTTATTCCCAAAGTTTTCCGTTTAAGGCATTTCTGAATGTACGTGTGATCTAGGTTTTGGCTGCACAGCAATACTGCATTATTCCCAATGAGAGAAATGAAAGGATATTGACTACTTGAGTGGCAGTAGTTGCTACATTAAGCTCATGCATTAGGCTTGGAGTTTGGTCTTGCATGTTTTAATGTGAAAAGAATTCAGGCAAAAGCTGGTAGTAATGCCAACCTCTTTTAATATGTGCAAAGCTAAGGATATGGTCACATGAGAAGCGGCAAATGCAATGATGGTGCAGGAAACTCTTGCCTTAGCAGATGAGTCTATCAGGAAAAATATGTATCCTACCGGGATGCTAAAGGCACACATTTTTAGCAATGGGAGGGATTAAGGATGGGGGCAGCACATCCCAGGAATGTTTCATGTTTTAAAATCTGTAGACAAAAATTTGGTGTTTTTTGCTTTCCTGTTTAACAGCATGCTGTATTTCTACCAATGATTTATTTCTGTTTGCACAGGGGATGCCAGGGCAAAATGCCTGTTTCGTTTTATAAGAGACCATTATGATCCCCACTGGTCTTTATACCTATGAATAAAGACTTTTTTATGTCTTATTAAGTGATCACTTCAGGTATTCTTCAAGGTTTTCAATAGAATACTATTTTATTCTTAGTTAGATAATTAATTTTCCTTCATCCATATTTATTTTTTTACATGACAATCCTATGCACTTTTCTTATATTTCAAACGAAATGATAAATAATTCTGCTGTAACATTTGTAACTTTTGTTCATGCCTGTTATTGACTTCAGTACTATAGGGATGGAATTTGACCCTAAGGTTATATTACAGCCCTGATCATAGTTCTTCATCTTTGTGTATACAAGGTAAAAAAAATTCTGATTAACTCCTCTCCCCACCGCTAACCCCTATATCTAAAAAGACTCTTTTTCCAATTAAATAAGATTCCTATTTTTTTTTCTTTTGAAGTAATGGTTCCTAACATATGTTTTTGCTTTATATTTTAGATAACTCTTCCAGTTTCTCTAAGAACTGGTATTATAAACACTTATTTAAAGGAGAAGTATATAGAGATAAGAAATAATCTATAAAGGCACAGATGTCTCTATTTCAAACATAGAAAGTACTATTTTAAAGGAAAAATAGAAAAATTGAATATTTGATTCTGTTTAACTTTTGATATTTATTTTTGATTTAATTTTATTTCAAGTTAGAAGGGTCTTGGTTTAGAAAATAATAAGATCATCTTGTTTTCACTTCTAGCTGCTCCTAGACAATGCATTGAACTGCACTTTGATGAAAAATATTCCATAGAGCCTTCTTGGGAATGTAAATTTGACCATATTGAAGTACGTGATGGACCTTTTGGCTTTTCCCCAATCATTGGACGTTTCTGTGGACAGCAAAATCCACCTATGATAAAATCCAGTGGCAGATTCCTGTGGATTAAGTTTTTTGCTGATGGTGAGCTGGAATCTATGGGTTTTTCTGCTCGATATAATTTTACACCCGGTGAGTACAAAATGCTACACTTTGTGGAAGAAAAAGCTTAGCATAGTAACTAATGATGTATAATTGTGCTACTGAATAATACTTATAATAGGGACTATGTTTGATATTAAAGAAACTATTAAGAGATAAGAAAAGAATATATGGTTTATATCATTTGCATAATGAATCAGGCTCTTTCAGGGGAGACATTTTCAGTACATTTTTGTCTAGGATGCATATACTCAGTGTGCCATTTTTAAAGGAGTTGTTTTCAGTAGAATTTTAGTATAGAAAATCATTCAAAATATTGCATGGGAAGGTATGTGGTTTGTGCTTGATTGCTACACAGCTTTTCTTTCAAAATGATCGTTGGTATTCTAATAAAAAATATAATTATCTCAGAAAAGTCCATCATTACTTTTTCACTTCACCAGTTATTTGCCCCATTGAGGAGGGCAACTATCCCATATATTGCCAGAGGAACTGTAAGATTCAAATAGCAACATGTATTAAATATCTCTGAAAAAAAAAGATGTAACATCTGCTTGCAATAATACTATTATTCCTACTATTATTGACAAATTTTTGATTTAATTTGAAGAAAACAAAATTCATAGCCATGCTTCTAGTTATTTTCCTCTTCCTCTTCCCAGCAAGAGATTGCTGATCTTAAACTTATTTTTTGGCAACAGCTACACTGCCCTGTACTACCCTGCCCTGCACTGCTGGATTTGACGTAGTTCTGTGCCTTATAATGTATTGAGTGATGAGTCATACCTTAATATAATTCACTCTGAAGCACTTTAATTATTATGTAATTTTGCCAATTATGCACCTATTGTTTCAGTTAAATTGTTGTGTTAGGTGAAACAATATTCAAATTCTGCTTTTTTAATTATTCCAATGGTATCATAGATGATATCAAGACTGCTTGAGTGTTCCTTTATGCAACTTTATTTTTCTGATGCAGGGAAAACAGTTACAAAATTAGCCTAAGTAGTTTTTGTTTGTCTGTATGTTTTTAAGTCAAATATACTATTTTCCAGAGGGAAAGAATGTTTTTAAGATTCAACCAGCAACAGAATTTCTGTAGAGAAAAAGCCATTAATCAGATAGCCAGACATATGTACCTGTTGTAAATGCAAAGACTATAGGTGAAATTTTCCTGCGTCCATATATACTTGTCTCTGAAAAGTGAGTTAAATTTATATCAAAGCTGTTATCAAAGCTCTTTGGGCTTCTACCATTTTCCTTTCCATCTCTCTCCAAAGTCCTTTGCTTTAGATTTTCTGTCGTTCTTGCTTCAAAGGGATATGTATAACAGTTGAAAGGATTGCTCATAGCAACTCTGCTCAACTTATTCTATCAAAAAAAACCTCAAGTGAAAAACAATTTCAGGAATCACTTTTTACCCTCATTCCTCTTGTACTAATGTAAGGTGGATTTCTACACAAAGATCAATGCTGGTAAATTGCTATAGCAGCATAAATTATTCCAGAATTCAGGTGGAATAGCATCTCTTCTCTTTTCATAGCTTTCAAAATGAAACTCTGCAAATGATAAAAGCGTTTCTGGAAATATTGGCCAAAATGAGAATATGATTAATCTGACAAGTGCAAAATAGCATGGCTGCCTCCCTGATCGCCAATAACAGGATACAGTTTTCATTCTGACTGAATTACTTCACCGGTCCTTTATTAAGCAGGCATGGATTAATCTCTTGTCCAAATGTCTGCAGTGGAAGGAGTGACTGTCAGCTCACTAAAAAAGATGAGAACTTTCAAGAACACACAAAGCAGTAACATATAGAAGAATTCAGTTTCCTCCAGAAATTATCACCTGAGCCATTTTAGCTATATTTTAGGTAGCAGCTACACCTGAAATTACACTGTTTACAAAGCAGACATCAGAAGAAAATTCTCAGCTAATCTCATTTTGAAGAATCACCAGGATGTGAGAAAGAATCACCAGGATGTGATCACAATTAGAACTTTTAAATCTGGAGCAGCTGAACACCCAGGGAAGATGGGTTTTGTTGCCTCTGCCTGGCAGCAGGCTCTGCTGAACTACAACCCGTATCTGATGGTGAGGACAAGTAGCATGGTAGAAGATGTGTGAGGCAAGTCTTAAAGAATTAAGTAACTGAACTTGGCTAAGTTGAAATTGTAGACAGTTATAATTATTTGAATGAAGAAGGAGGGAAAGAAATTATTTGCCATGTCTTCAGGGCAAAATAGCTAACAGATACAAAATAGCAGGTATAAAAGTAGATAACTGGATGAGTTTAAAAGAAAAAAATCAATAAGACTATCTGGAAAAATGTTCCAAAGAAGCTCTATTATGGAAAGAGTTCTGTCACCTGAGATGTTTTAAAAGTATTTTGGATTAAGGCCTTAAAAAAAAAAAAAATTGCATGGAACAGTCCTGGCTAAGGAATATGGTAATATTTTTTGGTTACTAGACTTTTTCTATATTCCAGTTTGTTTGACTCCCAGAGTTATGGAGTTGTATTAATGGTTGGAGTTCATTCTCCATGTCCATGCAAAATGCCAGTGGAATTTCACAACTCATTCTAGGTGTTTCTGTCTTTAGCAGATTGGGGTTTTGGGCAGCTTGAAGCAGGTATGACTCCTTTGCCATACATCCCATTTGGTTTGGATAGAACTGTTTTTCTTTCTAGTACTATAAAACCTGAACTCTAATAGAATAAATAACTTTTGTGGCAAAAAAAATCCTGAGATACATGCACAAATAACAGAAACACAACTAGGCCTGTCTAATTCTAATAAGTGCTAGCACTGCTGAAAATTTTGGAAATAATTCCTTGTTAATTCTGGGATCTTATAAATTATGTGGTTAAGCAGCATGTGGTTTAATGAAGCTGCATATATCCTATAATGCTCAAATATTTGAAATGTCAAAATTCCAGGCTAAGAGAAGAAGCAGTTATTCTTTTTGTTTATATTATTATAGATAAATACTAGTAATAACAGGATACAATTTAGATGTAAAAGAGTGTGTCAGCCATTTTGTATAAATGAAAGTTAAAAAAAAAATCAACATAGAACCAATTTACTCCTTACTTTTTTAATTATTATTTTTAATTGATAAGCATTTTAGTTATTTTCTGAATTTATGAACTTAATTCACAAATGAATATAAGCTTCTTATATATAAAATAGATAACATCTCAGATTCTAATATATTTTCAGGTTGCTCTTTGGTTCATTCTGAATGCAAATTAAATTGGCTGGGGAAGGACACATTGGACAAATGACATGCCATTTCTTTCATGCTCTTGTTTTGTAATGCTCTGGACAGTAGTCCATAAATTTCATTTGACATTGCTGGTTCCTCCTACTTGATCAACAGATCAAATATCCTCACTTCTCCTAAAAAGTTATGTCTCAAAAGCCTTTTCTGAGATGATCTTGAGTCATTTTTTGGCTAGTCGAATCTGTGTGTTTTAAGCATTATTTCAAGGGTCTTGTTCCTGACAACCAGCCTTTAAAATGAGTCAATTTTTCAGTGTAGACAAGGATTCAGACAGAAAGACAATGTGTTTATTTGAGCTTTTTTATTCAGCTAGAATAATCAGATTTCTGTTTATCCTGGTCTCTGATTTTTCAGGGCAGTGGCTTAAGATAGCACATCATTACTTTCAGTTCCATCACTTAGTAGAAACCATCTGTGTTTTTATTTAGCCTCATTAATATAATGGTCAGTCTATAATGTTTTTGTTCAGCTGTTTGATAGTGGAAACATAAAAGGTTTTATACACTTATACTCTGAAAAGTGGGATATAAAACATTATCTAATCAAATTAATGGTAGTTTCACATCCACATTTCATTGGCACAAACAGCTATAGAAAATAAGGATAATAGTAAAATGATGTCAGCTATCTTGATTAAAAAAAAATCCAAAATCCAGCCAATTCAGACCAAGAAGTTTCAAACTTTAGGATTCCAGAAAAAAAAAATTCGTGACTCTACACTGCCAGTTCTAACAAGTGAAATAAGATATTGTCTAATATATTTTTGACATACATTTTGATATTGAATGTCCATCTCATCTCTTTTGTATTTGGCAAGATGAAGTTTCGCAGCTCTTGGGACACCTGAAAAATACTTCTGGGAACTGTCTTGCTTTACTTATTTTCTTGTTCCCTTGGTCTCATTGTTTCTAAGTTAACATCAGTGACAATATTTTCATTTTTTACTGACTTGTAGTTGCAATTAAGCTTCTCAAGAAAGAATAAACCATCTCAGGGCCATGTGACTGTGACTCAATCGATCTTTTGCTTTGTGGGCTCTTTTCACAGCGTGTTTGAAATTGTGAGAAATGACTCATTATAACCCTTCCTTTAAACATTTGAACTAGCAAAGTAGCCCTGATGTATTTAGAAAAGTGTGAATTTGTTTTATTTGATTATTGAGCATTCTAGTCATCAGTAACTCAAATTGTTATAAGCAGTTTCCTTGGGCTGTGAATTTTTATTGTGTTCATACAAGTGTGCAATAGTCTGGCACCACTGTGTTGTCATTTACAATGTATTAAGCCTTCTGGTCTTATGAACAAGAATGATTTCATTGTAATATCTAGGATGATGCATTTATGTGTTGCAATGAAAATCATGATCAGCTACATAAATATTGTCTTTTCAAGGGAATTTGTTTGGCATTTGTTGTGCAGTTCCATAAGTTTCATGAACTTATATGATCTGCAAGACTATGTGCAGGATATGTCAGTAAAATAGATATGGGAAGTTGATAGGATAATATGTTTATTTTAAATTTTAACTGTAAAAGAATTTCATGTACAGAGCAAACTAGTATCTAAAAGATCTCACAGGATTTTTTCCATGTTTCCCCTTTTTATGCATGTAATTACATAGTTACATTTTTATTTATATATTACTCAAAAGACAACTACAGAAATTCCCATTTTAGAAATCCCTGAATGCTGGAATGTCATATTTCTTATCAAAGAAGCATAAAAGCTAAAAAGATACTGTAATGA